CTGTGAATAGCTGAAATGTGGATACCAAATCAGTGGTTTGGGGGGTTTACTGTTTTTGTCAATACCCAGTGGTTGAAATTTAAGTTACCCTTTTTTGTCTGAGGGAGCAAGAGTCAAAAATAGGAATAAACGTGTTGTTACTTTTTTATTTTGTATTTAAAATATGCAAAGTACCATAGCTGGAAAAGATTAATAAAGCCACAAATTTAAAAGTCATGACCAACAGTGAACAAAACTTGAATCATTTTAATTCAATTTTTGGGCTTTGTTGATTAATATGTAAAAATTTTTACGTTAGTAATACAGTACAAAATTCCCTATACCCCCTTAAAGGAGATTTTTTGGGAAATTTAAAATGTTATTTTACCCCAAAAGACTCAGTAAGCTACACAGACACTTGATGTGCAAAATTGGAATTACTGAAGGGGGGGGACAGGGGTGACGTGGAGGGCGCTTGGTGAAAATAAAACCATTTGGTAGTTGCATATCATTTAAAAAAATTGACTGCCTCGGGTTTTTTGGTCTGTGGGTGTGTGTTGGTATGGGTGTGAAGGCGGTGGTTGTGTCCGTAGTGTACCGCCTGACCGTGGCCAAGGTTTTCAGAAGTGTTAGCATCACAGCTGCAGAGCCTCCAAAATTGACTGAAAAAAGGTTTAAAAATAAATTTTTTATACCTTGTGCAATTACAAAAAAAACCCCGTTGATATTAATGAGGGATTCTGCAAATGTCTGTTAAATAAGCATGTTAAAAATAGCAAGAGAGCACTTTCATACTGTACTTTATTGTACACTAAATATAGTAGGGAGGGGGATATGTTCCAAGACCTACTGTGGATACCCGAAACCACAGGTAGTAGCAAACTATATATCAATCATTTTTTGTTTGCATACATACCTATGAGAAAGTTTAATTGATAAATTAAGCAAAATAAGCCTAGAATTAGCACTTTCACTGATGAAACTGGGAAACATTTCATAACTTCTCTTAGGCTTTGAAGAACTTTCAGCATCACTACTTTTGTGGTTTGGGACCATTATTAAGCAAAATTAAGGGTTATTATTGGGCCACAGTAAACCGTGGATAACTGAAACAGATACCGAATCCATGGATAGGAGGGGTCCTACTGTACTTTCAGTTTACACAGTGTGTGCTTACATTACAATTAAATTACCCTCTGACTGCTACATCCCCACCCCTTCTTTAGAGTTCACTCCCTGCCCTGCACACCTCATAATCAAATATCTAGTTAAAAATGTTTTAACTGTGCTCACAAAATAAAGTATGTGTGGGTTACTTAACCTAGTATTTCATAGAATTACCCTTCCTTTTGATGCACTCCTTATATCTCCTAGGAATTGATAGGATTAAAGTACGGAGGACTGAAAAGTTGCTACCCTCCCACACCTGCCTGATGGAACTCCAGCATTTGGGGATAGTGGACATGTCCATGCCACGAAGCTTACACATTTCCTCATGTTTTCAGTCTGATTTAAGTCTAGTGGTTACCAGGTCAGTTTTTAAGGCTAAAAATTTTGTATATACCCAAGACTTATCCTTTGGGCAATTTCCCTCCCAGAAAAGGGTGTGAAACTAGCAGGAAATGGTTATTCTTTCCAAATTCTAAATTTCATGTATTAATAGTGAAATTCAGAAAAAACTTTACTATAGATTTAGCTTAGGATCCCCAGTATAATGAAACAATGTGACTTGGTCAGTTTCGCGAGTATTCACCTTTTAAAGGCGAAGGTGTTTGGACCAGGGTTACTTTGTTTATATAAAAAGTTTTCCCCCGACCTAAATTTTATTTTTTTTTTTTTTTTTTAAACAAGTCCCCTTCTCCCATTGGGCAGGGTGCCCCAAAAAAAGAAAGAAAATCAACAAAAAAAAAAATTTTTTTATCTTCATTCAACACTTTCACCTTATTGTACATAATCTTTGTTATTCAACCAAAATATAACATAATTTTATCCTAGGAAAAACCCAGTATAGTGAAACAATGTAACTTATTTCTGTTTAAAAGAGTATTGCACATTAAAGAAAAATAAGTATTCCTTGTAACAGTGTTAAAAGCCCAAATTGTAAAAAAAAATAGAAAAAAATTATTTAAACCCAATTTATACTGCCATTTTCCTGGGGGGTTTAGGTTTCCCCCCTTGTTTGTAATAATAATAATTATGCACATTAAAAAGTGGAGTAATTTTTCGTCAGGCAAGCATTTACCCCGTTTGAAGTAAAAAAAACACCTTGAAATACATCTAATATTGTTAAAAGTAGTGTACAGAGCGTTGAACATTAAATACAATCTAAAAGTGAAGCAATCAAAGTGAATTTAAAAGTAAAAGAAACAATAAAATTAAAAAAAGGGAAAAATATCATTTGCACATTTATGTGCTGTTGCGCAAGGGCTTATTTTTTCGCCAACGTTAACCTGGAGGTCCCTGGAGGGGGTTTTCGGGGGTCACTCCCCCCGCGGCCTGGTCTGTGACCGGGCCTCATGGTGGGTCGGGGGGTGATCAACCTGGCTGTTGCTTTTGGGCTGACAAACCGAGTATGACCACAGGCGGTGGTCAGGTACTGACTTTAGGTGTCTGTTCAGTGCCTTCTTGAAGAGGGCCCGGGGGTGTTTTGGTAACCCCCCTTATGTATGCTGGAAGGCAGTTAAACGTCTTGGGCCCTTGACATTTTTTGTGTTGTTCTTTCGTGCTAGGGGCCCCCCTCCCTTTTTATTGCGGGGATGTTGCATCGCCGGGGCCTTTTGCTTTCATAGGGAGCTGGATAGTATTTTGAAAATCCCTTTTGCAAATACACTCAGTTTTTTGCCATATTTTTTGCCCTTGAGAAGGCATATGCCCAAAAATTGGGGGTATAATATTTTGGCCCGGGCCCCATTCCTTGGGCCCTCCGGGCAATCTACAACCCTTTCCCTTAAGAATTTTTAAACTGACAGACATTCCGTGTTCGAGTCAATAAGTTTTTCCCCCCGGACTTGTCCAAGTGAAGGTGCCCCTCAGGGTTTTTTTAAAAGCACAACATTTTTCTCCTTGCTATAAATATTTGGCCTCTGTTCTTCCCCCAATATTGGTCATCATCTATTTTGATGATTCATTTTGCTTGTGCAGGGTGATTCATCTTATTCAGTTTTTTCCGCATGCGGTCGACCGTTTTTCCACTTGGGCCACCATGAGGGTTTAAATTTTCAAGTCCCAAAAAAATCCCAAAATTACTTTCATAGACGCTCTGTTTTTCCCCGATACCTTTGTATCTTATGGCCCCTGTACCCCCGAACGTGAACGTAAGGTTTCTAGGCTTCTTTTGACCGTAGGTTATCCGGGAAAAACCTCACTTACCTTCTAAAGGCAACTTGCCCGCGGCAAAAACCTTCTTAAAACCCTTGCTCATCTTTCCTGGGGGGGCTGATCGTCAACTTGTTCGCCCACATTCAGCCCTGTTTTATCGAAACTCAATTAGGTGACCCGATTTATTCCGCGGCCTCTCCTGTACTCTCTTAGCCTTAAAATCTATCCATCACCCGGGTTGTTTGTGCCCCTTTGGTGCTTTTCGCTTTTCCCGTTGAGAGCCTCTATACAGAAACGAAAGTTCCACCTTTTTGTCGCCGTGTGCCCATTTCCTTTGGCTACTTGTACGCTCCCGATCTACAATCCTTCCATTTATAGAATGGTACCCAATTGAGACTTCTTTATTCGTTCGCCCCCCTGTTTGCTCCCTCCCTTTTCCTTCGCCTCATTCACTTTGTCTTCCTTCATTACCACCTTTATATGTTCATGTAGCATCTCCTTTTCCCTATTCCCCTGGGGAAATTCCCGCTGTTAGGTCGTTCTTTCTCATCCCTTGCTCGAAAGCTCAACGCCTATGGTGGTTCTCGCTTTTTTTTGATCACTTCCACTCCCATTCTCATGCCCCGCTGTGACAAGTGGGTCTAAGTCTTCAGACGGGGTCGGATTCGCAGCAGTGTTTCCGGACAGCTCGTGCGGGGGCATTTCTATCTTCAGCTACCATTTTACTGCTGAAACTGTATCCCCTTCTTTCAGCCTTATTCGTATGATTCTGCCTGTGTCATATTTGTAGTGTCTCGACTCCCCTTTGTGCTCTAAAGGGTATACGAAAATTTGATACTCTCATCCCTAGTTCTCCCTATCCCAAATTTGGTACGCCGTATCTCTACCAAACATAAAGGTATTTTTTTTTTGTTGGGTCCCGGTCTGTGGTACAGGGCAATGAAAGGCAGCATGCTGCGCGATCAGAGTACATGACTACCAATTTCTATCGAGGTTTCCAGTTTTGGACTATTTTGCGCAATAGCTACCCCCCTTCGCACCGTTGGCAAAAAACGTTGGGGGCAACTCTGCTCGGTACAACTTCATTTAAATTTAAACCGAGCATAGGTTACTGGCCGTTTCTTGTCTCATGGGGCCCAGGTTGGGAGCCATCTCTCCCCCCTTCGGATTTGGGCCCCCTCGTCTTACTCATGGGTATCTCATGGAGAGGACCCTGTTCCTCTCTGTTGGCAGTGTCAAATTCCGTATCGATTTGCCACATTTTGTTGACTGCCCCCTCTATCAAAGGCAGCAGTATTTACCTCCAACGTCGTCTTTGTTTCTACTCTCTCTTTTCTTCCCTTCTTGCTGATGGATGTCCTTAATCGGGCTTTCATTGACTTTTGACAATGATGATTTATCCCCAAACTCTGATGATATTTTCCACTCCCCCCACCCTTTTAGTTCAGTTCTTGCTGCCCTTTACCCTTTTTCCATCCATACCCCGCTGTTTTCCCTAACCCATTAATCTCCCTTCCCTTTTTCCACCCTGATGCCCCCGCTTCCCTTTCCTGCCTGCGCGCTTTAGTCCTTGTGGTTAGCGCTTCTTTTTTTATTATATATTTTAAATTTCATAGGGATGATTTTCTTTTTGCAAGTTTGGTACTAATCCCCCTAGGGGTTTTAAAGTGTTTTAATATGTATCTCTTGCCTGCGTTCTAGGGAGTGCAATAAAATGCCATGAAATCTTCAGTTTTGCCAGATTCCATTTAGTATTTTAGTCTTATTAAATTCATAAAAATAAAAACTTTCAGTCTGCAAGCCTTTTTTTCACAATCTTACCACACACACACATGAAACTGATTTTCAGGGTATGTCATAGCAAAGGGGGTTAATATTAAATTGAAAGGTTATGCAAATGTGTTGACTCCTAAGGGTTTAGAATTTCCCACTGAATATAATAATACTTACGTGAGTTGAGAGAGCAGCAATATGAGAAAGGATGTGGTCCCACTCTACGGTGCCACCATCGCCGCCACCAGCCCTGTGCCATGCATCCTGAGCTGTTTCTTCAGCCACACCCATAGCCTGACACACCTCCAGCAGCTGCTCCCATGTCACACTGCCTTCCCCATTCAGCTGAACAAAGAAAGAAAACAAATTTTACTTTCTTGGAGAGGGTAAAGTCTTTTACTGGAGTAAAGATTTGAGTTTTGACACTGGAGGAACATGTACTATAATTATTTTTTTTTTTAATTTAGGTAAAATACTGAAGTATCAGTCAGTCCGCTGTATAGCCCTTGTGGCTTAGCGCTTCTTTTTGATTATAATAATAATAATAATCAGTCAGTCCATAGGCTTTAAATCCAATAAACCAATCAGGGAAGTGGAAAAGAATTCCAAAAGCCATGTGTGTCACAAGAGGCGACTAAAATGCTGGGAGCAAGGGGCTGGAGTTTACCTGAAGAGAGTTCCAGGGGTCAAAGCCCCCACGGGCTGGTCTGTGACCAAGCCTCATGGTGGATCAGAGCCTGATCAACCAGGCTGTTGCTGCTGGCTGTACGCAATCCAACGTACGAGCCACAGCCCGGCTGGTCAGGTACCGACTTTAGATGCTTGTCCAGTGCCTGCTTGAAGACAGCCAGGGGTCTATTGGTAATCCCCCTTATGTATGCTGGGAGGCAGCTGAACAGTCTCAGGCCCCTGACACTTATTGTATTGTCTCTTAACGTGCTAGTGACACCCCTGCTTTTCATTGGGGGGATGTTGCATCGTCTGCCGAGTCTTTTGCTTTCGTTGCGAGTGATTTTTGTGTGCAAGTTCGGTACTAGTCCCTCTAGGATTTTCCAGGTGTATATAATCATGTATCTCTCCCGCCTGCATTCCAAGGAGTACAGGTTCAGGAACTTCAAGAGCTCCCAGTAATTGAGGTGTTTTATCTCCGTTATGCATGCTGTGAAGGTTCTCTGTACATTTTCTAGGTCAGCAATTTCACCTGCCTTGAAAGGTGGTGTTAGTGTGCAGCAATATTCCAGTCTAGATAGAACAAGTGACCTGAAGAGTGCCATCATGGGCTTGGCCTCCCTAGTTTTGAAGGTTCTCATTATCCATCATGTCATTTTTCTAGCAGATGCGATTGATACAAGGTTATGATCCTTGAAGGTGAGATCCTCCGACATGATCACTCCCAGGTCTTTGATGTTGGTTTTTCGCTCTATTTTGTGGCCGGAATTTGTTTTGTACTCTGATGAAGTTTTAATTTCCTCATGTTTACCATATCGGAGTAATTGAAATTTCTCATCGTTGAACTTCATATTGTTTTCTGCAGCCCATTGAAAGATTTGGTTGATGTTCGCCTGGAGCCTTGCAGTGTCTGCAATGGAAGACACTGTCAAGCAGATTCGGGTGTCATCTGCAAAGGAAGACACGGTGCTGCGGCTGACATCCTTGTCTGTTTCAGATATGAGGATGAGAAACAAGATGGGAGCGAGTACTGTGCCTTGTGGAACAGAGCTTTTCACTGTAGCCACCTCAGACTTTAGTCTGTTGACTACTACACTTTGTGTTCTGTTTGTGAGGAAATTATAGATCCATCTACCAACTTTAACAGTTACTCCTTTAGCACACATTTTGTGCGGTATTACGCAATGGTCACATTTGTCGAAGGCTTTTGCAAAGTCTGTATATATTACATCTGCATTCTTTTTGTCTTCTAGTGAATCTAAGATCTTGTCATAGTGATCCAGTAGTTGGGACAGACATGAGCGACCTGCTCTAAACCCATGTTGCCCTGGGTTGTGTAATTGATGGGTATCTAGATGGGTGGCGATCTTGCTTCTTAGGACCCTTTCAAAGATTTTTATGATATGGGATGTTAGTGCTATTGGTCTGTAGTTCTTTGCTATTGCTTTACTGCCCCCTTTGTGGAGTGGGGCTATGTCTGTTGTTTTAGTAACTGTGGGACAACCCCCGTGTCCATGCTCCCTCTCCATAGGATGGTAAAAGCTCGTGATAGGGGCTTCTTGCAGTTCTTGATGAACACAGAGTTCCATGAGTCTGGCCCTGGGGCAGAGTGCATGGGCATGTCATTTATCGCCTGTTCAAAGTCATTTGGCATCAGGATAACATCAGATAGGCTTGTGTTTACCAAATTCTGTGGCTCTCTCATAAAAAATTCATTTTGATCTTCGACTCTCAGTCTGGTTAGCGGCTTGCTAAAAACTGAGTCATATTGGGACTTGAGTAACTCACTCATTTCCTTGCTGTCATCTGTGTAGGACCCATTTTGTTTAAGTAGAGGACCAATACTGGATGTTGTTCTCGACTGATTTGGCATAGTTCTTTGATTTGGCTTTTAGTTCTTCCCGCGATTCCTGATTCTTATAAGATTCCTTTAGCTTAAGCTCGATGTTTGCTATTTCTCTGACCAGTGTCTCCCTATGCATTGCAGATATATTGGCCTCTTTTAGCCGCTCTGTTATTCTTTTCCGTCGCCTGTAAAGGGAGCACCTGTCTCTTTCTATTTTACATCTACTCCTCCTGTTTCTTAAAGGAATAAGCCTAGTAACCCCTCCTGTATGAATTACAAAATTTAAAAAGAAAAACTGGTTTTTCTTTTTAGGTCACCATACCTCGGTGGGATAATGGCCAATTCGTTGAAAATATATAATATAATATTATGTATATAGTATATATGTTTAAAGATAATTTTTTTAGTTTATGTTAATGTAAAAATTAATAATTTTGTATCAAAAGAACCTTAGAAAACTTACGTAACCTTATTATAACATGCACAATATAATTTAGCCTAATCCAACTAAATATATTTTAGATTAGTTTACAATAATTTAATAATAAACAAACACAATGAAATATATTTTTTTTCGTTAGGTTCAAAGTGATTTTTGTGAAATTACTGCATACACAAACTTTCTCTTGCCTTATTCGTCCTTGGTGTGTGTGTCATGCTGAACAGGTAAAACTTGCGATTTTGGATTAAATAGCAATGCTCTTCTTGCCAAATAAGGCAAGCAAAAATTTGTGTATGCATTAATTTCACAAAAATCATTCCAAACCTAACAAAGAAAATATATTTCATTGTGTTTATTATTAAATTATTGTAAACTTATCTAAAGTATATTTAGCTGGATTAGGCTAAATTAAATTGCGGTTATAATAAGGATAGGCAAGTTTTCTAAGGTTCTTTTGGTACAAAATTATTGACCAGCTTTACCTATTCGGCACAGCGTGTAAATAGAAGATTGGATGGTAATTTGAACCGTGATCCTGGCGTGTAACAGGCCCAACTCTACCACTGAGCAACGAAGCCTTCAATAAAATCTTACAAACAAAACATCTGTGACGTGTCTGTAAAGTAGTATCAGCTGTGACATTACTGTCTTCCATCAGCCCCAGAAGCTTTCATGAAACATCTATTCTCATGCTCCTCAGAGCCAATAGTCCATGAACTTAATATAAGTCGAAGAGAATGACTGTCACTAAATAAAGGAATGACAGGAACTAACTGTGGGTCTGGCATGTAGCAGGCACAATGTTGTACCAGTGAGCCACGAAACTTACAAAAGGAAGATTTCACAGAGAGCAGTTAAGTGTATGAAAACAGATAAATGGGTGGGATTCAAATCCATGACATGCCAGTTCTCTAACCACACCATGCAGACCTAAAATGATTCATCCTACTGGATAAGTTTCTATACATCAGAACATAAGAAGGAACACTGCAACAGGTCTACTGGCCCATGCAAGACAGGTCCAAGTCTCCTACTGGCTTAAGCCAAGGCCCCAACCTAGTCAGATCAGGTCACATTCACCTAAGGAAGGAGCACGGTATCTGACCTAGTAGCACAAGCTAGTCAGGTCCAGCTCACACCCACCCGCACCCACTCATGTATTTATCTAACCTATTTTTAATTTATGCTTTTCAAAATGGCTACGAATTGCCTCAGCAATCATTGATTCCATAAATTTTCCCACTCTGGAGGTTAGGCTTATTGGTCTATAGTTTGAAGCTAAGGACCTGTTACCTGCTTTGAAAATGGGTATCACATTTGCCATTTTACACTTACCTGGCACCATGCCAGTTTGTAGTGATATGTTGAAAAGATTAGCCAAAGGTTTGCTAAGCTCCTCTTTACATTCCTTTAGAACCCTTGCATACAGTTCATCAGGGCCTGGGGATTTGTTGGGTTTTAATTTATCTATTTGTCTAAGGACCATGTCACTTGTGACCCTAATAGTGCATAGTTTACTATCGTCCTGTTCTACATAATTTATTATTTTTGGAATATCTCTAGTATCTTCCTGTGTAAAAACTGAGAGGAAGTATGTGTTAAAAATTCTACAAATTTCCTTATCACTGTCTGTGAGCTGACCTAAGTAACTTTTGAGTGGGTCTATCTTGTCCCTAATCTTACTTCTGTATTCCTGAAAGAATCCTTTTGGGTTAGTCTTCGATTCTCTTGCAACTTTAACCTCATAATCTCTTTTTACTTTTCTTATTCCCTTCTTTATTTCTCTCTTTAAGTGAATATACTGATTTCTTAACTGCTCCTCTCCTCTTTTGATTCACCTATATATGCCTCTCTTTTGACCAATGAGATGTTTTAATCTATTGTTCATATATATAGGATCATTTTTGTTTGATTTGATTTCCCTATTTGGAACACAAGTTGTCTGAGCAGCTAGAACTATGCTCTGGAAAACGTCATATCGGCAATTATCACCTCCTACCCATAGTCAGGCCATTCCAGTTCAGCCCACCCAGGTAATTTTTCAGTCCTATGAAATCAGCCAAGCGGAAGTCAGGGACAGAGACTTGATTGCCATTATTAGGGTAATTACATGATATTAAAACCAAGTGATTTGTGATCACTTTCCCCAAGCTCATCATTAACCTCAAGATTATTAATTAGCGATTCCCTGCTGGCAAGAACTAAGTCAAGCAGGTTATTTCCTCTAGTTGGTTCAGTCACCAACTGTTTTAAAAAACAATCTTGAATCGTATCAAGAAAGTCACTTGACTCTAAATTTTCTGTCAAACTGCTCCAGTCAATTTGTCTAAAGTTGAAATCTCACTAAGAAGGTTAGCATGGGCTCCACTGTGACCACTGATGAAGGTT